GGAGAGTTCGGGTGGTCTCTTGGACAAATCACCCATTCGGAGAGTTAGGGTGGTCTCTTAGACAAATCACCCATTCAGTTTCCACAATAGGGTCTGCACGCAAGGGAAAACATGGTAGAGTTTTAATATTTGGGAATAAGTTTGATGGATTGTATCGTTTGACTATTAATAAAGTTGATGCTCTTTCTAGTTATGATTGTGCTTATCATGTGAATGAAAATGCGTACATATGGCACATGAGACTTTGTCACATAAACAAAGATAAAATGATGAGAATGAGTTCTAATGGATTAATTTCCAAAATAGAAATGAATTTCAATTATTGTGAACCATGCCTTAGTGGAAAAATGACTAGACTCCCTTTTAAGAAAGGGAAAAAATCAGAGGAATTATTGGCTATAATACACTCTAATGTTTGTGGCCCTTTGAACGTAAAAACACATAGGGGTATGAAATATTTTGTAATTTTTATAGATGATTTTCTCCAGATTTGGCTTTGTGTATCTGATTAAAAGAAAATCAGAAGTATTAGAGAAATTTAAAGAATATAAAATACTTGCAAAAACCCAATTGGGTAGAAAAATTAAAACTCTTACGAGTGATAGAGGTGGAGAATATATCTCTAACCTATTTAGTTACTTTTGTACACAAAATGGAATCATACACCAATTAACCATGTCATTCACACCACAACAGAATGGAGTGGTTGAACGGAGAAATAGGACTTTGTTGGATATGGTGAGATCAATGTTATCTCACTCAAGTCTAGAAACACACTTTTGGGGAGAAGCCTTAAGTACTGTTGTATACATTCTAAATAATGTTCCAATTAAAGTTAATAGCTTAACACCACATGAAATGTGTACTGGTAGAAAACCAGACTTGACTGACATCAAAATTTGGGAGGCTAGTGCCTGTGTAAGAGTGCCAAATCAGCAAAGAAGCAAGTTAGATAATAAGAGTCTAAGGTGTACCTTTATAGGGTATAGTGATAATAGCAAAGGGTATAGATTTGTTAATCATAAATCTGATGGAACAGTTGAATTAATAGAAAGCATGGATGCTATTTTTCTAGAAGATCAAATTGAGGATAATAAACAATTACCTAGCTTATTTGAATTAAATAAAGAAATTATAGAAGTTGAGACTGCACCTGATAGACAAGTTTCACCTAATAATGACACCTTAGGTAGAATTCAAAGAGAAAGATTCCCTTCATCAAGATTAAAATATTATTATACCTACTTGAATGAAGAGTCTCTTGATGATCCAATTGACTTTGAAAATGCTATGGATGCACCTGATAAAGAAAAGTGGTGTGAAGCCATTGAAGAAGAGTTAGATTCAATAAATAAAAATCAGGTTTGGGAATTAGTTGATTTACCCAAGAATAGGAAACCTATAGGGTGTAAATGGATATTAAAGAGAAAACTCAATGCTGATGGGTCTATAGAAAAATATAAGGCAAGATTAGTAGCAAAAGGGTACACCCAAGTAGAAGGGATTGATTATGAGGAGACTTACTCTTCAGTTGCCAAGTTTACCTCTATTAGAATCCTAACGTCCTTAGTTGCCTTTTTGGACTTAGAGTTGTGCCAATTAGATGTTAAAACTAATTTTCTCAATGGAAAGCTGAATGAAGAAATATACATGACTCAACCCAAAGGTTACGTAATAAAGGGACAAGAAAATAAAGTGTTTAAATTAAAGAAACCATTATATGGTTTAAAACAGTCCTCTAGGATGTGATACCATACCTTCCATGAAGCAATCTCTAAACTTGGATTTATACCTAATCCGTTTGRTCATTGTATTTACTCTTTGAATAGTGGGAGCAGTTTTGTTGTTCTTTCATTATATGTAGATGATATTTTTATTACTGGAAATGATGTGTCTATGATTAATGAAACTAAAGATTGGTTAAAAGCCAACTTTGAAATGAAAGACATGGGTGATGCAAGTATGTATTTGGAATTAAAATAGAAAGAAATAGGAACACTAAAACCTTAACTCTTTCACAAAAGCATTACTTGGAGAAAATCCTAAGGAAATTTAATATGAAAGATTGTAATGGAGTTGAAACTCCAATTTGTAAATAAATCCTTGGTCAGTATGAGACATTTGTCTCAATCTGGAGAGGCCTTGACTTGGTCTTCCCTCCAAACGTTCAAGTCGGTTACGCTCCCACCTCAAAACAGGGAAGGGAATGTTGGGGAAAGACCTATATATATGGCTATCATAAAGATAGCAGTGTGTGCAAAATCAAAGATAACTTGGAAGGTCAAGCAACCCTCAAATTTCGGCTCCATCCATATTTGATAGTTCTCTCTTGCATTTTGTTTGAGAGATAGGTGTCTCGGATCCTGTATTGTGCAGCTACTTTTATTCTCTCTTTGTATGCAGGTTTGATACACCAAGATCTCAGCCGTTCACCTTTGCATCTACTCGGTCCTTCATCCAGTTGATGTCAGGCAGCTGTCAACAGAGCAATCCCCAACCCAAGTTGGCCCATTTGAAGCAGATTCTCTTCAAGAGCTGTAGCAATCTCATTTAAGGTAGGCATTTTGATGGTGTCGAGTGGGACCATACCCAGACAGTCATTAGAAATTTTAATGGCCAATTCAGAGAGCTCTTGCCTAGCAGCTTCAAGCCCAACTGATGCTATGGTTTGCTCATTGAGAGCCTTGCAGGCTTTCTCAAGTATGGACTGCAGATATTTGCCTTGTGCTTCAATCCGAAGGTGGAGATGTCGCTGGACCTCCAACTGCTCATGCAATCTTCTTTGGACTTCCATTTGCACATGTAAAGCCTCAGTAACCTGGTAACCATCATTTAAGTCTTGAGCCATCATTCTTGATGATGCTGATGAAGATGATAAAACAACACCCTGACTTTCATCTTTAGAATTGTCAGTGAACTCCTTGCATGATTGCTTCTCCAGACGATATTTCTGTAGATGAGACTTCAAATGATATAGGGTAAGGCCCTTTACACCCATTGTCTTGATAATGGTTTTTGGTGTTGCTTTGTCAGGGCCACCCAGCTGAGTAACATCATCTACAAATCTCTCATGGAGCTCAGTTATCCATTGTAACCGAGGCTTCGGATCGATAGTGAGAACTAGACATGCGTCACCAGGTAGATTAGTGCCTTCAAGAGATCCCTGTAAATCTTCATGGCTGACGCTCCCATCAAGCGAATGAATCCCATAGTACATTTTCCTTTCTGCTTTCTTCCGGGGCCAGGCGCCCCGAAAATCTTCAGACCTAGTTAGTGATCAGTGCCTCCAAAAGCTTTGCAAATCCAAAAAGTTGTTCTTACAAGGGAATTCAAGTGTAGATCTACAAAGAACTGGGAGTTCAAGTTAGAAAAAAACCAAAAAAAAAGATTAAATGAGAAAAATAACTTCAGAAAATAGAAGAAAGTGGCCAAACGACAGGTCCACCGATCACTTTTCCTCACCACTGATCGTCGACGATGAACTTGCAACTGGTGTGCCGCTACCTGGTAGAGATGTTCAAATGAATGGAGAAGGAGGTATAACCCTTGTGTGGGGGTATTTTAGGTATTACAAGAAAAGATTAGGGATTGGTTCGCCCCATTTTTTTTTGGAGAAGTACTTCTTCAAGAAGAGCTGGAAAAAAAAGCCAGCTTGGAGTTACTTTTTTAAAGAAGTACTTCTTCCCCACTTTTTTACCAAACACACAAAACCACATAATGTGTGGTCCCAACTCTTAAAAGAAGTATTTGTTAAAAGAAGTATTTATAAGTGTTCTTAAATAGGGGCTTAAACTCGTACCCAAACTCTTAAAAAGTGTCTAAGTTGGTCTAAAACCATTAATAGACGTTAAGTATCATGTGAAATAACAAAAATACCCTTCACCTATCATCTAATTTTCTCATGATTGATATCCGATCCCTAATCAGTAACCACCTCCAATATCAAGCTGGTTATGGATTTAGTTGCTTTGTACCACAACACATTGTCAAGTTAGTATGCCAAAGCAAGGAAGTGTTCCCGCCATTCTCTACATTACATGCCAAATTGCATCTTAGGGAACTGGTGTGGCTCCGAGAATTACTCGATGGGGAAACTGTGCAATGATGCTTTAATGGGAGCAAAGGTTGAGATCGAATTCAATACTCCTCCAAACAGGCAAACAATCATCACTCATGACCATGAGCTACTTCTACCATTTTCACTTCACAGTCCTTTGTCACACCCTTCTCTTCTGTTCCACTAACCATTGAACCTGCTCGAACAAACTTGGGGACTCCCAAGTCTAATACACCATGATTTAACCCTAATCCCTGAAGCCCCAAAATATCTACCACCACCACCACCACCACCACCATCACCATCACTACCCTCCTCTTCATCCTCCTCCTAATCATAACCATCTACCTTGTTATAACCACTACTCTGCCTCCATTCCAGGACTTGACTCATTTCTCTCCCAGTAGTCACTTCTCGACCCACATGCCTCCAACGATTCTTTCCTTCCCCTCTCCTTGTCCCTCAAAAAATCCCTCTCCCTTCACACCTTCAGTGTCTCCTCCCTCCTCTCCCTCAAAATCTAAGTCCCCATCCATGTGAAACTCATTGGATCTTCCTCTAGCCACTCCCAATATCTCTTCTCTTTTTTCCTCCACACCACCATCTTCTCCAATTGATTCCATGTCATCATACCTATTCCTCAACACCTCATTGTAGAACCCCAAACCCCCAAAACACAGTTTTGCTTTGTGCAACCAAAACATATATGCTCATTGCTCTTGCCTCCATTATCCATTTCTTATTTCTTTCAAATCTGTTATCAAAAATAAGAAAAATAGCTTCTCCTCGAACAAGAGAATCCATCTCTCTACTTTGGCCCTCTCTATAACAATACCCACTAATGAATCTTCAACTTCAACCACCACCTCGCTTTCCACAAATCACGGAAGAAAGCCCATAGAGAGTCTCCTAAATGTTTGCTTCAATTCAGCCTGGATATGTGCTTGAATCGTGGTGACCTTGTTAAAGCCCTTCACCTTTACGACGATGATGCTCCTAAGAATGGGTATTGATGGAGTTGCTCCAAATGAGGCCACATTAGATTGGTTGTTGCAATGGAAGACCCAGAGATGGCATTTAATTTGATTAAGAAGATGACAAGTCATGACATCCTGCCAAAGTTGAGGTCATACTGACTTGCGCTATTTGGGTACTGTAAGAACCGGGAAGCGGATAAGGCTTATGAGGTTGATGCTCACTTGGTATCACCTAGGGTTTGGGCGGAGGAGCCTAGGCTTGTTGCATTGCTACAACTTAGTTCAAGGTAGAAGACAATGAGCAATGTCTTTTTTTGAAGGGTACTTTTGATATTTTAAAAAATTTTAAGTTGCACATGTCATCACCTGATCAGATAGTTGATGGTCAATTAATGGCATGAACCAACTTGACACTTTTTGAAAGTTTGGGTACTATAGTGACACATTTGAAAGTTCGGGTACTAACTTGACACTACCCCCAAAGTTAACGGTACTAAAGTGGAATTTTCCCAAAAAACAAATAGTAGTAATCCATGTGATACATGAACTTTTGTTAAGCGAAAGTGAAGTAATAAAAATACGTAAGAATAAATAATTTTTTATATATTTTAACTTTTGAAATAATTAAAAATTATTTATATTATATAATAATAATAATAATAATAATAATAAATAATAATAATAATAATAATTGATTTTAGCTAAATTAATAATCTAATCTCTAATAAATAACAATATTACTTTTTTGTAAATTATTTTTTATAAATATTAATTGATATAAGTGAAATAATGTTTTCATTATTAGTACAATAACAATTGCAATTATTATTCTATTTTTTAATATCTATTAATTGAAATTTATTACATATTTTTGTTATTTGGAAGCTTCAATACCTCTAAATTATTTAATATATTTTTTATTATTTCAATAATATTTAAATCCTTTATATTTTATATTCTTATAATCAAATATTATTAAAAATATTATAATTATTTTTGTTTGTTAATGAATTTTTAAAATTTATCACTTAATTTCGTTATTTAATCTAATTTTTGTTATTTAAATAATATTTAAAATATGATTTAGTTACTAATTTTTTCAATATTTAAAATTGATTTATTTAAATATTTTTTATTTAAATTTTAAAAATATTATTTATTTATTAAATTGAAATAATCCATAAAATTATAATTTATACTATTATTACATAATTCCTTTATTAATTTTGTAAAATATAAAATTATTATTAATTCAATTATTATGAAATCTATTATAATTACTTTTCTATTTTTAAGATTTTTCTAATTTATTACTTAATTTGTTATTTTAACTATTCAAAATTTAGTTATGTTAAATATTACATTATTTAAAATATTTAAATAATATTCGAATATTATTTATTTTGAATATATTAAATAATATTAAATGTTTGTTATATAATTATTCAACTATATTTAATATTTTGTTACCCAAAATAAAAAATAAAAAAGCACCTTAGTCGGACAGCGAAGTGCAAAGTTATGGCATCCCAAAATTTTCATACACATTTAGTGTGCAACCCATTCATATGGTTTATTGACCAAGTCAATGGTTTTTTATTGCCCTTAGGTTTTATTAAAACCAAACATAGAATCTAGATCGAGTGACAGTTCAAACAGTTCAATTGGCCGGATCAATGACAAGTTGAAAACATTGAACGGGTCAATAGTCCAACTGTCTGGGTCATATGGTTTTTGAATGTCCTCCAGGTTTTATTAAAATCAGAACCAAAATCTTGATTGTGTGATGGTTCGGATGGTTCAACTATCCTCTAGGTTTTATGCATGCAGTCAGTATACCACTTTAGTGGCAATAAAAGCCTTGTTTCTAGCGGCAGTTTTTGATCTTTACCGGTAGTCACCAAAACTGCCGCTAGAACTCTTAGCGACACCTATTTTAGCGGCAGTTTGTTGACTGCCGGTAAAACTTCTACCGGTAGTTTTGATTATTTTTAGCGGCAAAATTGCCACCAAAAGTGATTTTTCTTGTAGTGGCATGCTACCACACTTTATTTTCTTTATATAGTTAATTAAAAGTTTTTATTACACAATAATATGAATCCTATTTTTTTGAAGTTTTACTCCTTAATTTGTTTTATGTAATTAAATTAAGTATTTATTTCTTGAATACTTCCTAGTTTATTCATATATGTACAACAAAACTGAATTTATACATAGTTACTTCATACACTTTCGAATATGATTTGTTTCTTTCATAGTTAATTTATATTTTTTATTACACATACTTTTTAATATGGCATTTTATAAACTTCATGCATGCTGTATTTTACTTTTCACTTACAACCTTTTTACCTAAATAAAACAATATTCTTACATGATATGATTTACATATATTCTAGTATAATTTTTAATACAAAATGACATGATTTTTAAATGAATATGTTTCATGATATTCAAACTTCTTTTTTTTTGAATTAAATGGCTTGTAAGTGAGACCATGAGAGTAGATAAAAATAGTTTGAGGTTTTTTTATTTGGTTTTTTTATATTTACTTATTTATTTTTTTTTAATTTAATAGGTTGTTGGGTCCTATTGTCATGTATCATTGATGAACATATGAATGATAATGCCATTCTCATATGCGTGACACATTGAGACATAGAGTAGCATATTATTATTATTATTTGTTAGGAAAATAAATAAAAATTTTCGGGGGTTAAAAATATATTAAGGGATTTTTAGTGGAATCGGATATATAATAAAATCTTCTTGAATTTTAGAAAATATTTTTTTGGTAGAAGAAATTTGGAGAATATCAAATATTGATATATTACTAATGTATTGTTTTATTTAATGTTGCATTAATGAGGGGTACACCTCATTAAGCTTGAGGCTTAATAAGTCTATCGCCATTCATACAAAGAGGGTGAGGCAAGAGGTGGCCTTGCCACGGATCTACTCCTCACACCATACTCACAATACATTATAGCCGTGTGTTGGGAATATCTTCCCATGAATAAGGTTGGTGTGAGACGTGCCTGAAAACACTTTTTTTTTTTTTATTGGAAAAGGTAAGTTCATTAAAATTAAAATTTTGATAAGGTACATCTGTCAACTCCTAAGAAGTTGACCCAAGTTACATTGTTTTGTTAAGGTATCCATTAGCCCGTTAACTGACCTTCCTGTCCATTTAAAGCACACACCAATCTCTCCCGTTATATTCATTATTTTCCTTATCATT